TGAATTTTATTGCCACCAGTGCTGCCGCCGCTGCACATGCCTGGACCAGCCCCCAGTTCATTGTTGTCGTGGCCATGCTAGCGGCTGCTGCATCAGCAGCCAGCGAAACGTTGCCATCAGAATCATTGTGCTGCATCCCTCTCGTACATGTGCTTTCGTTCAAGCCAAGGCTGCGTAAGGATAGCACCCACCACCCAAAAGCCACAAGCCACAAGGAATCAGCCAGGCGAGTGATTATAATCAGCCAGGCATTTACATTCATACTTGTTGAAGTCCCCTTACACCACCACAGATTGCGCGTCACGTCGCGCTATCAGCAAGCAGGTATGTATGGTCACACAGATATGCATGGTCACACAGATGTGTATGGTCACACAGATATGTATGGTCACACAGATATACACTTCCTGGCCACATGCCCGGGAAAAATAAAGAGCTAATGAGGCGGGCATGCGTTGGCTGTAGATGTGGTGTATACGTATTTGGCCCAATCGTCGGGGGTGCGTGTGTACGCACGTCCTGTACGATTACGTGTACGTGTACGGTGTACGGTGTACGGTGTACGGCAAATTCTTGCCACGCGCGAAGCTGCATGTCTGTGTGGGTGTGGCGCAGTGGTTAGCGCGTAGGTCTCATAGCTGTTATCGTGCTGTGACTTGGACTATCCTAAGGTAGAGGGTTCGACACCCTCCACCCACAACCGCTCGTGTAGCTCAGTGGAAGAGCACCCGTTTAGTACGCGGGAGGTCTCGAGATCAAAACTCGACATGAGCAGCACATCGCTCTGTGCGGGACATATCCGCTCTGGCTTTTCCATAACATGATCCATCCTGGTGTGTACGTGTGCGTGTATGTATGTGTGTGTACGTGTACACGTTGGTGCATGTGTACATGGGGTATTTGGTCGTAGCTAGCCAGAACATGCATGCCGGGACAGCACAGCAGCAACACGAAGGCGGCAGCATGGAATTATTCATCCCTTGCTTGTGCCTGTTGCTGGTCCCTGCCGTTGGACACGTACTCGTAATACACGAAATGCTGCAGTCAGCCGTGTGTAGCCTTTTCTAGGCGTTTAGGGTTTCAAGGACCCTAAAAACCCTAGAAACACTAGCTATCACCGCAAAAAGCAGCTATTCAACGACTAGCATCGGTTGAGTAGATCGGTGAGGTTTTGGTTGTTGGCTGTGACCATGGATGGCACTCGTGCATGCAGGATCTGCATTTTCTGAGAGACACAGCGCGACGAACACTACAAATATGTAGCACATGTAGCCGACAGGGGAACGGTTGCCTCCACCTAAACCAGAGCCTAACAGGACACGTACATAACCAAATACATGCACGCAGCAAGCAGCCAATCACAACCGCATTGACGTGCCAATATCCAAGACTGCTGCCAGGTGCAACGTGAAGCGACCGACTAGTGGCCAGTGAGATGCAAGTGGGTGCCGACATCCGGGCCTAACAGGGGTGAATTTTATTGCCACCAGTGCTGCCGCCGCTGCACATGCCTGGACCAGCCCCCAGTTCATTGTTGTCGTGGCCATGCTAGCGGCTGCTGCATCAGCAGCCAGCGAAACGTTGCCATCAGAATCATTGTGCTGCATCCCTCTCGTACATGTGCTTTCGTTCAGCCAAGGCTGCGTAAGGATAGCACCCACCACCCAAAAGCCACAAGCCACAAGGAATCAGCCAGGCGAGTGATTATAATCAGCCAGGCATTTACATTCATACTTGTTGAAGTCCCCTTACACCACCACAGATTGCGCGTCACGTCACGCTATCGGCAAGCAGGTATGTATGGTCACACAGATATGCATGGTCACACAGATGTGTATGGTCACACAGATATGTATGGTCACACAGATATACACTTCCTGGCCACATGCCCGGGAAAAATAAAGAGCTAACTAGACGCGGGCTGCGTCGCCCGCGAGGGGGCCGTAGTCCCCCGGTGCAGCGTGTACATGCGTCCTCCATTGCAGCATCTAGGTCCATTGCAGCGACGTGCGAGGGGGCAGAGCAGGAAGTTTGTCATGGCTGCAACGGGGGACAAAGGCCCCCTCGCGGGCGACGCAGGCCGCGTCTAGTGTGTGATGTGTGTGAGGGGCGCTGTCGACTTGTGTGGGAGTTGAACCCACAAGTGCATGCAATGCACCCAGCCGTGCATGTGTGTCGTTGTGCGGCAAAGTTGCCGTTCAACGCTGGCATTTAACGCCATCCAGTGGCGGCTGCACAGAAATCTGGCTGTCCATGCTGGTGGTCACGGGATGCGCGTGATCACTGTATCATGTGGGGATGGTTGCGGTGGTCCAACGCTGCTCCAGGTGTCGGGCGTGTTGGTACTCGGTTGCATAGCGTTGGCGGGTTTCAGTCGCACGGCGGTCGAGGAGGCGCAGTTCGGCGGCCAGGTCAGGGTCCAGCTTTGTTGCTGCGAAAAATATTTTGATGACTCGGCGTCGTTCGTCGGGTGTGGTAGAGAGTGGGCGCAGCAGGCGTATGTGGTTGAGGGTCTTGTAGCGTGTGAGCAGCACGTACATGGTTGCACGCTTGAGGCCACCGGGCGGAACGGAGAGGTCTGCAACCCAGCACTCCTCCTTGAAGCTCCGGCCCTGCACGAAGTAGTCGGTAACGGCATAGTAGTCACCCAGTGGCACATTGACGCGACGTACGTTCTTGGTGGTGGTGCCGGTGTTGGCAGCAGGCACGGTGATGTTTGCTGCTGGTGAGGGCCGTGGTACGACAGTGAAGGCAGCACCCTTGGATGCGAAGTCCGCCAAGTCCGCCAGCACCGCTTTGGGCGCATGCCCTTTCATGGGACGGACCATGACGGCTGCGGGCAGGTAGTGGAGGCGCCAGTACGGGCCACGGCCGTCATCGGGCGGCTCATGGCTGTCGGTGAGCAGGCCGCACGCCTCGACTTCATTGTTGTGGCACGCGCCGGCGTCGGCAGCAGTGGTGTCGAGTAGGGTGTAGCGTGCGCCTTCGTAGTACCAAGTGTCAGCGGTGGTGTGGTCGAAGATGGCGTCTTTTACTCGCATTGCGACTGCCTTTTCGACGTGGGAGAGTTGCTGTTGTTGGGTCGCACCATGTTGTCTGACCGGGACGTGGTCCGCGTTCCAGCTGACCAAATGTGCTCCTTTGCGGCGCGCCTGGAGCATCAGGAGGCGTGTGTTGAGCGCGTGTCTGGGTTCGTTACGTTGCAGCACGACACGGGGTTCAAGGTCCGTGAGATCGGACAAGTCCGTGATGACACGCTGGTTGAGTGCATCTATGAGATCTGCAACACGTGCTTCAGTGGGTTGGCCGCCACCGAACATGGTCGCGAACCGGGTAAGCTGCTGGCCGGATGGGGTGTTGTCTTGCCGCTGCTGTTTCTGCAGCATGAATACGGTGCCACCGAGTTGCCGGTACAGGTTGAAGCCATCGTGTAGGCGGGTGTGTGTTTGTGGTACGGCTCGATGAGGGCGAGGTGTGGTGACGGCAGTGTCAGGGTTGTTGTTGTCATCGTTGTCATCACTGCTGTCATTGTTGCTGCCGTCCGTGTGGTGACCTCCACCCTCACCAGCGGAGGCTCGCCCGCGCCGGGCGGTTGGTGCCGACGGACTGAAGTGGGGGTCCCGCTCGACGGCGGCCGCGTAGCAGTATGGTGGCGAGCCGCCTGGTTGAGGATGCTGTAGCAGGTCGCCGATTCCGGCAGCGGCGCGGCCGGAGAAGACACGAGTGCTCGGGTGGGTGGGCCCAAGGTGCGGCGGAGGCGGTACGTAGGCTGTACATGAGTGGCTGATGGCGCCGAGGTGTTCGTGGCTCTGCATGCCAATTTCATCGATGAAGACAGCCCCGTCACCGACGTTGCGTTTGACCTGGGGAAGGCAGGGTGGAGTGTGCAGAGAAGAGGAGTGTGAGGGTTGTGGGATGGGAGGCGTGGATGTATGTGTTAGGTTTTCTAGTTGGGCGGGGGAGTGATTCCTACCTGAAGGCCGGCGTGGGCACCGCGCTTGGGAAGGTTGGCGCCACGTGAGCCGCTTTGGCTGGCTGAGATGCCGAACATGGAGTGGGTTGACAGGCTGCGGTGCACTGGAGTGTTGAAGGCAATCGCGGCGGCCCAGGAGTACGCGCATGTGGCGGCCCAGTCGGGGCTGTCATGCTGGTATGTGTACCACAGCAGCGCCTGCACGAACTGAGTCTTGCCCGTGCCTGGGGGACCCATGATGAGCATCTGTGGTGGGACTCCGTGCAAGTGTAGCGCCAATCGCCCGCTCTGTTCAACCTTGACGACTACCTCGAATACGACCCCACAGAAGCAGTTAGGGTCAGTCTGCCGCATTGCTCCAGGTGCAAAGCCAAACAACTGCTCCACCAACACCTCTTTCGTGGCGACGAGCAGTGCAGCACAGCTGTGCGGGTCTTCTTTGACGCGGCGCCACTTATCCACCGTGCTGCTGATCCGGGTCGGACGACCAGCATCGTCGAACTCTATAATCTGGCCAGAGGCTACAACGGCGCAGCCAGCGTGCATGTCCGCCGGGTTGAGATTGAAGAATAACGGCGGCCAGCCAATGGTGAGGGCAGCCGCACGCATCATGGCTTTTGCACCATTGTAGTAGGCATCTGTAAGGTCGATTCGCAGCAGGCTGGCACGTGCACCATCCAGGAGAGCACGCACCACGGGCGACTGCTGCGACAGCAGCTGCCGTCGCTTGATGTGACGGTACGGCAATGCCAAGATGTCTGCCATGGTGCGTACCACATCCCTCGGTACCCGTGCCGCCGGTTCACCCAGTCGTGGTCGCATGCGCAGGGCCACTCCCACCTGCGCCATGCTCTGCTGCCGAACATTGATATCGTACATGCGGGCAAGCAGCATCAAGTTGCCGCTGAACTGCGCCCGTGGCACTCGCCGTACGAGGTGGCTGCAATATGAGGCGAACGACATACCCAGTGGTCGCTGTCCGGACAAACCATATGGAAAGGACACCGGGAAGCAGACGTTGAGGATGGCTGGGTGACGGTCATCCAGGACCTGAGCATCACGGCCACCAGCAGTGAATGCGAGACGTGCACGCCCGGTGAGCAGGTCATGCACCACGTTGGGCCGGTTATCAAAGTCGCTGCCATCCGTCGGAACAGGAGCTGGTTGCGGAAGGACCAGCTCCAGTTCATTTGGAGCGCCCAGGTCGGCATCAGCTGTGTTGGGCAGAGGAGGCGGAGATTCGTAAGGTTAACATGGCGGATGGACAAGACAATCGTAACATACGCACAAGATGAATGTAGTAGGGCAGTCGATGAATGTAGTAGGACAAACAGGACAAATAGGACAAATAGGATAATCTGCATATTCTCACTTACTCTGGAGAGGACCAGGATTGGCTGGTTGGCGCACGATGATCGCGACAGGCGCTAAGCCCGTAGCACCAGCATCTATAGTGGAAAATAGGCACGGTTGTGCACACACCGCAGATGAGGAGGTGGTAAGAAACGTAATAGTTTGTGGTCCGGAATCCGACAGGCGGGTTAACATGTCCGGATATGTGTCATCGATGACACATACAGCAGCACTCGTAGCATGTGCAAACCCATAGGTACATAGGCCGTACAATACAATGGCGTTACGGGTGCAGAGAAGCAGTCGTGCACATACCAGCCCGTCAGGTTGGACAGCTCGTACCGTACCCATGACATACATACCTGCTATACGAGTGTCAGAGGCGGTCGTTCCGGCCGTGTGTCCACTGGGACCTATAACGGACGTAGGAGCACAGAAATACCAATGTCGGAAGGATGCACGTGAAGCAGGTGGAAATAATTCCGTCAGTTGGAAAGGAACGCATGTAGGCTTGCAGCTCCCGTAGCTGACAGTACTCAGCAGTAGTGCCATAGATAGGAAAATTCGCACCTGTATCGAGGGGCGATCCATAAGCGCCACCACCCTGGAGGATCTCACCAGCGACGTTTCCTTGCAACGTCTCTTGCAGCTGTCGTACACCAGCAGCGCCGGTACGATCATGCAGGAACGTACTCCGCAGTACACCAGCGACTTCTGGATCCGTAGGACCGATTGCAGAGTCCAGCAGCGCCTCCGGTACTTGCGCAATGCATCCCATACGCTCATACTCCTGTAGAGCATCTTCATCCACCGCACCTTCATCCTCGTCGTTATGCTGAAGGAAACGTACCCAGGCGATGATGACGTTGCCTCGCACTTTCAGGCCTGGTGCACGGCGGACACGATCCAGCAAGTCCTGCCGGTCTCGGACTTGATCCACGCACACCACCGTGAAGGTGCCTGCCAAATCCGCAACGCGTGCAGGCAGCTGGCCCCGAAGCATATTGGGGTCGGGGTTTACAACCGCAATGCCATGCGACTGAACAGCACACGGCAACACCTCGGGGGGGCGGCCCGTGAGATGTACAATCATGAGCTGCTGCATGAGACGGCCCCGCCCCAACAGCTGACTCTCCACAAACGTGGGCGCGGGCAACGGGTCGCCCAGGTGGTTGGTAGACGGCACGTCGCCTGGATCGATTCGCGCCAGAGCCGCTTCAGGCACTCGGCGTGCTGCAACGAGAGTGGCGACAGGTGGGCAGCGGTTAGGCAGGGTTTAATGACAACATGTATGACCCAGACGGGGCATCTCGCCCATACAAATCAGGCGGCCCGACGGATCAAAGGTGCAGAACAGCATGAGCAAACGGAAAAAGGACAGAACATGTAGACGGGCCAAAGAAGTTGCTCACCCGTCAGTGCCTTCTCACAAGAGGTGCAGATAGTGAATCGGTCGGGGCCAGCATCGTCAGGGAACATGGTCCGGTTTGGCAAGTCCACATCAAGGCGCATGCAGAATGGCACCTCCACACTTCGTGGATCCTCGAGGCAAGGTCGTGGCTGCACCCGTGGTGGGTATGGCTGCAATTCTGGCGGTAGCTGTGCTGAGGCCTCTGCAGCACTGGCCAGTGAGTCCGGGTCATTAGCCCCATGACCTGCACCATCACTGTCAACCGCCAACGCATCTTCGTCAACGAATGCCGTTCGGTCGGTGTCAGCACTCGCGCCAGCACTACTGCCGCGCTCGGATCTGCCGATACGATATCGTGCCGGCAAAACCGGATCCGGCGGTGGCGGTGCAGCACCTTGGGTGGTGCAGGGCATGCGCCGCCAAGCCAGGGTACGTGCATGACGCGGCACGGCGGCAGTGCACATGATGTCGGCGCGTAATATGTCCACATTGGGAATTTCCAACCAGGCACGAAGTGCCGACTGGTCCTCTGAACACTGTTCAGAGCAGACGGCACACACCCGTGAAGGCATGCGCCGACGCAGCGCGGCGGCCATGCTGCTAGCAAGATGCAGGTGTTTTTCGTATGGCACCTGCCGCTCCATCGGGAGTTGACCGCCGGGCAAGTCCTGCACGTGCCCTTCCGGAATCGCCTGCAGGAAATTAGGCAGCGCAGGGTGCTGGCCCTCATGCAAGCAGGGAAACCGCATGAGGTCCCGCAAACGCTCAAGCAAGGTGGCTTGTGGAAGCTGTATTGCATGCACCTGATCACGGGCCTGTGCATGTGCAGCGGTGTTACGCCGCTGTTCTGCAGCCCTGTGCTCCGGGTCTTCACGGGCAGCAGCTCGAGCAGCGGCATCATGCCGCTGCCGTACGGCCCTGTACTCCGGGTCTTGGCGTGCAGCAGCTCGTGCAGCGGTGTCATGTCGCTGCTCTGCAGCCCTGTACTCCGGGTCTTGGCGTGCAGCAGCTCGTGCAGCGGTGTCATGTCGCTGCTCTGCAGCCCTGTACTCCGGGTCTTGGCGTGCAGCAGCTCGTGCAGCGGTGTCATGTTGCTGCTCTGCAGCCCTGTACTCCAGGTCTTGGCGTGCAGCAGCTCGTGCAGCGGTGTCATGTCGCTGCTCTGCAGCCCTGTACTCCGGGTCTTGGCGTGCAGCAGCTCGTGCAGCGGTGTCACGTCGCTGCTCTGCGGCCCTGTACTCTGGGTCTTGACGGGCAGCAGCTCGTGCAGCGGTGTTATGCCGCTGTTCTGTAGCCCTATACTCCGGGTTTTCACGCCCAACTGCTCGTGCAGCTGCATCACGCTGCTGCCCTGTAGCCGTAATCTCTGGGTACTGACGGGCTGCAGTGTTTGACATGCCGCGGGGCTGTTGCTCTGCATCCGCACCGAGCCGCGTGCTCGACATAATTGCCCCTCTAAAACGAAAACCGCCGGCTAGTGTACCCAAGCGCTCACGACTACGATCCCCACCTTGCTGGGGTGAATCATTTGAGCGGCCCGCCATAACTGACGGAACCCGTATTACCGGGAGTGATTGAAATAGCTATATACAGGTGCGATATATATGCATTATATTCATACAGTAGCAAGGAAACGACTGCAAATAGCACAGCATCGCGTGGCTAGCTTACAGTGGCCGGCTTTTGTAAAACCGGACGTGAAGAGAAATAAAGCAGGACCGTACGTGAAGAGAAATAAAGCAATTGCTTATGTATGTGTTGCAATCACACTGCGGTGAACCGGCGCTCGCGAACAACACAGCTACACAAAAGTCCGTACAGCCAACGTTGGACAATGTTGGACAGCCGAATATGTGCACATCGGCGCAGCCTCATATACCCGCGCCTAGACTGGATCGCGCGTTGAATTGTGCGTTTAACTGCGCGTCTAAGTGCATGTCGAATTGCGCGTTGAGTTGCACACTTAAGCGTGCGTCGAATCGCGGGTTGAGCTGTGCGTTGGATTCCATGGATCGGTGCGCGTCAAATTGCACACTTCAGTGTGCGTCGAATTGTGTGGTTCGGGACACGTTAAATTGCGCATCGTTTAATTGCACATCGAGTTGTGTGGTGGGTTACACGTTAAAATGCGCGAGTCGGCGTATGTCAAATTGCGGAGTGCGGTGCGGCCAATGTTTTGCAATTTACACGTTCAATCACGGTGCGGTGCGGTGCAGTGCAATGCGGTGCGGTGCGCGGTCCCGAACGAAAAAAATAAAACAACCGAGCAGCGCCGGGATCGAGCCTACGACCGCGGCCCCAACTCGACATCGGAGCTAGCGCGCACGACGAAGCGGCGCACGTCGATGCTCAGGGGCACAATGCGGGGGCACAGGTGTGCTGCAGTGCGATGCGTTGCGTTGCGTTGCGGTGCGGCGCGGTGCGGTGCGGTGCGAAAAAACGAAAAAAAGCGACGACGACGGGAAGCGAACCGGCGACCGCGGCTCCCACGCGGCGACGGAGCTAGCTTAAAAGACGCAGCTCCGAAACTGCGAACGACGCGGCGAAAAAGGGCAACTTACCAAGCGGCCACCCGGACCGGACAGACAGACAGACAGACAGACAGACGGACGCCCCCCGCAGCCTAAGGTCTCCGTCCCGACGACGGAACGACTAAACGTCGTCCGTCTAACGTCGGGACTACGACGACGGACGCCCCCCGCAGCCTAAGGTCTCCGTCCCGACGACGGAACGACTAAACGTCGTCCGTCTAACGTCGGGACTACGACGATGAGGCGGGCATGCGTTGGCTGTAGATGTGGTGTATACGTATTTGGCCCAATCGTCGGGGGTGCGTGTGTACGCACGTCCTGTACGATTTGTACGTGTACGGTGTACGGTGTACGGCAAATTCTTGCCACGCGCGAAGCTGCATGTCTGTGTGGGTGTGGCGCAGTGGTAGCGCGTA